AGTATCCTCCGTGACTGCCACTTCTAAGACGCTTTGAACAATTCTCAATTTGAGTGTTCGTCCGTTTCAAAATCGAAACAAGTGTTGTTGCCACATAGAACAGGATTTTAATTAAACAGTGAAATGTATTTTGCACACAGACGCTTTGTTATCGCGGACATTTAGCAAAGGAATGCACAAAAATAAGAAGAAGATGGAGAAACCTCTAAGACGTAATTCTGTATTTTGTTTTTGCGAATCTAGAAACACTGCCGTTTGAGATCACAGTCACTGTCAAGTAAATATGTTGATGTGCCCAGAATCACTCTATGGCGGTGTAAGGAGGGCGTGGAAGTGAAGTTCATACATGAAATCGAGTAATGTGAGATGAGACAGTAGGATCAACCAAGAATTGTAGGCAATGGTTCTGTTACCAGTAGGGTCGTTTGAAGTTTTCTCTTCGTCACCGCTGTCTGGAACTGCCCGCGGACCTCACACCCTCAATTAGTGCCTAGTTTAAGAATGCGTGATCTTTACCTGCATTCTCCATGTAAGTAAGACCTAATTTCTTGGGATGTGGGCACAGAGGCAAATTTACCGTTTCTTACTCTTGTGTTTGTTCGAATTATAGTTTGAAATGCGATAATTTTAGTTTCAGATAGCACAGCCTTCGTTTTGGAATAGTTAAAAGTAGAGTTTAAGAAGGAATATACCTAATGAAACAAACTGTTCACTATATTTCATGTAAATAAGCGAGGTGATTAAGTTAGGGGACACGCAGAGGTAGCACGCCATCTACGTGTATTTGGAAATAAGTCTACAGCCTTTGTTATTTCATTGCTTAATCGGGAGTTTATATGCACAGCGATTATAACACTGTATAAGAGTTCCATAAACAGTCCAGAATGTTTATGGTGCACTAGCTATAAACCAGATCTAGATTAAATGTATGTTTAAGGCTATATGTGAGCTATAAACTTCAGGATCATTAAGTGCTTGCGGGGATATAAACCCAGCTCTTTATCTTCCATCTCAATTTATTACCGTCCTTCTTTCTTGTAGTTCAGTTTTTCTTCTGGAGAGGCATCTGCTTACCTGTGAGAGAACTTCACTTTCGCCGGCTGTGGTACTAATTAGGAGGCTGTACGTACGGTCATGCAAGTTGGTTAAGCGGTTTTTCAAAAGCCCTTGTCGTGAATGTCTCATGGCTGGTAACGATAATCTGCCAGCAGTGCATGTGCACAATTGCAATGTTTTTGAAAAGATGTATTAATGCAAAAGTTACGTAGTACAATGTTTTGGGTCTAACAACGAGTACTTCTTCTCAAGATCTGAATTTATTTCACACTACGTAAGTTTATTACACCCCTGTATTCAATTTCTTATAATGCTATAAGCTGCCTAAGTCTGCTTATAAGTCCTTCTTTCCTGAAATTAAATCAGTGAACTTGGGTCTGTAAGTTTATCTTCTGTGGCAACTTCTTCTAGAAGACTCACTCAAAATCCACCGATTCGCTGAGAAGACAGTAATACACTTTACTTTAAACAGTGGACATTTTACATACAAGATATGTCAGATTTACGAAACATTGTTTGGGTGAAAATAAACTTGTCTGCCTGGCTGTTAGTTCCTGTAAAAGAGAATGGTGAATGAATTTTTCAGAATGTTACTTGTTGATTCAAGTAACATATTTCAGGCATCTCGATTTGGCCAGGTTAAAACGCCAGTTATAAAAATATGCCCGAAATAATACTTGGAGCAATGGGAACACCATATGGACGTAAGTGAAGATGTACGTTTTCTGGGTAGTAATGCCGTGTGAACTTAAAGGTGAATATTCTAAAATTTTGGTGTCTGCCATGTCTACATGGCGTTAGGTTACTACCCAGAAGGGCAGCATTAATCATTATTACTTTATTATGCAGCATTGGCATTTTCATAATTAATGTTGCCAGATTTCATGTTTAACAAGTTTGCCGAAAGTAGACTGGTAGGTTAGCATTAAATGCGCTATTAGACGTACGAAT